CCGCGCCCCGTCCCCACTGTGGCTGGGCCGGGGGAGCCGCGCCCCGGCCCGAATCCTCACACACGCACAGAAACACACAGCCCCCCCAAAAAAACGCCACCACGGTGGGGGGCAGCCGTATGGAGGGGGAGCCCACCTTTGGGACTCAAACCAGCGGGAAACAAGGGGGCGCGTCCCCTCGCTCGGGGCGCTCCCGGCTGGCCTCACGCTACACATCCTAAGTTGCCATTTTCGCTCTGTGGAAAGGGATCACACCTCCCTTGGCGTCTCTAACTTCTCTGCACCCTTTTTTTTCGCCCTCCCCTCCACCCCCTTGTGCTGAAAACACACAAAGGATGGTGCGTGATCCCCGAGCCAACTTTGAGCAGTCCCTGCGAGTGCTGAAGCACGCTAAAGAGGTCCAGCCCGGCGTCATTTCCAAAACCTCCCTCATGCTGGGGCTGGGTGAGACGGATGAACAAGTGTATTCCACCATGAAATGTGAGTTGGTGTCGAAAGACATGCTGAAATTCACAGCGTTTTATTGCGTTGGAAAAAAAAAAAATGTGAGCGTCTTTGCCTCGATGTGCAGATCGGTTAGTTGGTGCAGGAAATGTTTTCTAAGTTTTTTGGGTGGGGAAAAAAAGGTTTGGTTAAAAAAGATTGAACTTCTGAAATATTTTGCCTTCATGTGGCTTTCAGATTTGACAGGTAGATCCAGCTCATGTTGATTTCAATGGGAGTTATAGTGATCTTTGTGTAACTATATTAACATTCTTATCTTTGCAATACTTAAATAATGGGCTTGCAACATAATTGCCTTATCATGCATTCCTTTTTAGAAATAGCAGACCTGATTGTTTGAAATAGTTTATTCCAGCTTGCAAAAATAGTTCTTGACCATGGAGCTGTAGCATGTTCTTACGTCTTCATGTAAATGTATTTTTAAGAGACAGTGTCACAGTGGTAAGTGAATGCAGTGCACTTGCAAGAAGAAATTCATGAATCCTATGGCATTCCTCCCATATCCTGAAAGCATGTCTACCTGCTACTTTATTTTGTGTACAACAACCCATATTTAGAATGCAGTGATGTAGTCTAGTTCTGCAACCATCCCACAATCTGGACCATAAAGTCACAGTTCTTGATTTTCCCATTCTTCCTGCCTGGCATTTCCTAGCCACAAGAGTATGGAAGTTCAGATTTGGTGCTATTTGTTTTCAGGTCACTTTCATGGATGTATTTGGAGCCGAGCGTTACCCACCGCATTCATTCAGTTGCTCTAAGTTTGTTCCCTTTCCTTCTTCTGGGTACAAGCTAAAGAACACATAAATGTGCTGATACCAAACCAGTTTCTTTACAGAACCATGTCAATCTAAACAGAGATTCCAGAGTAACAGTGGGTGTAATGCTGTAGTTTTTCTTCCTATTTGGTGTGGGGCAACCAGCCCAAGTAGCCAGAAAATACGTTAATGCAAAATCTGATTCCTTGGCCATCCCTTTGTTCAGAACACCCCACCAGCTGCTGTGAACATAATTCTTCAGGCCAGCTGACTGTTGTGTTTCTGGGTCTTCCTCTGTAAGTAGACTACCTGAACTCATTTGCTGTGTATTGATTCTAGTAGATATGCAAATTTTAGCAGGCAAAGTTTCTGAAATTCTGCAGGCATCAAAAATAATGCCAGAAGTGTGTAGAACTGGCAAAAGATGTTGACAGTTTCACCTGATTTATAGTACTTTAGAACTGCCCGCATCTTTTCAGGATGAAGTCTCCTGAATCAGTGGAGAGGTGCCAAATGGATGTGCAAGCATCCATTTTTTTGTCAAATGAAGGCTCTGACCTAAAGACAGACCGAAAAGCAGCAAGATAAAAAAGACAAGAGCGTGTTGTCTCTGCAGCGAGACACGTGACTGCAGTGAGTGCAGTGCAGGGGTGTTTCCCCAAGCTTTAACCTAGGCAGCTCGGCGGGGAGCTCAGTGTGGTAGGGGGCTACAGCTCCTGGAGGCCGCAAGGTCCCTTTTGTGGGGAGCAGAATGTGGCCCCGTGTGGCACTGCGAAGTGACTTTGTTCAGACTGGGAAGGAGGGCAGTTTCTAATTGCTGACAATCCCTTGTGATGTTGTTTTTACAGTATTGCGGGAAGCAGACGTAGATTGTTTGACCCTAGGACAGTACATGCAACCAACCAAACGTCACCTAAAGGTAAAAATGCGGCGTTATGGTTTGTACCTCGCACAGTTAAGCTTCCTCTTTCTACACTGAGGCTTGATATGCATCCTTACCTTAACTGTGGATCCTGGGAAAAGTAATTACCTTCCTTGTTTAACCTGATCTTCCTCTGTTACGGACTCTTCACTAAGAATGACCTCAGGTGTCTAATCCCTTCCATCTTCTGCAGAGTTCCTACTGCTGCTCGCTGCCGTTAGCTGGGAGACAGCTGGAGCTGAGGCACGGTTCTGGGAAACAAGAGTGGCAGTGTCTGTCTCAAACATAATGGCTCAGGCCAGCTCCCCTTCACTGTCTCATAGGCTCTCCCTTAATGGTGCCACTTCAGCTGGGGAAATGACCATTTTCTCCCTCTCTAATCTGTCCGGAGCTTGAGTCTCTGTCCTGATACTGTCTTTCAATGAAATAACTGTTAGTGAAGAGATTTGTAGGGCTATTGGATTTTTTTTTTTTTTAAAACTAACTTGGACATAAAAAAGGTTTGCTCAAACAGACCGTTCAAAAACAGGGTGAAGAAAATGATGAAGCAACAATTAGAAATTAAATTTGAAACTTTTCAGCTAAATATGAAAAGCAAATAAAATGCATTCTTTAGGTAGAAAGCAGAGAGCAAATTCAGTTTGTGACTCGACTGCTGAAAGTTTTGGAGTGTAAAATTTTGATCTTGCAATATCACTGTGTTTCATGTCACTACATGCCAGCTGTAGCCATTTCCTTTGCATTAATACCTGACCAAAATGAATTCTTTTCACTCAGGTAGAGGAATACGTAACTCCCGAAAAATTTAAGTACTGGGAAAAAGTAGGAAATGATCTCGGATTCCATTACACTGCTAGCGGGCCTCTAGTGCGCTCCTCCTATAAAGCAGGTAAATTTCTGAAAAGCATTAGATTCTTTAGCACACAACATTGTAATATCTAAAGTTAAAACGTTGACGTAATCTGCAGCAAAGCTCACCTTAGCTCAAGGACAGCTCACATAGCCATCCTTTTGTTTTAAATTATTTACACTTGCTATCTTCTATAGCTCATCTAAATGCATCAGTATGACAGTAATTGGTATTTGTCCAATTGCTGTGCTGCTTAAGCTTATTTTTTTGCCAAACCTGGTTTGTACTCTACTTAATGGGTGAGGCAGGATAAAGGGTACCCAATTTGCAAGTTTTCCTTTACGTTCTGTCTCTTGGACACTTCAGGGTTTAATGGGGCCCTTTGTTGTTTGTGATGTAATTTTGTTGCTTTAGGCAGAATTTATTTACAGTGCCCTAGCAATAATTAGACGTATTTATGGCAGTGCTTTTCCTGACAAAGCAGCACTGGGTATTAAGTAGCAGCTGATATTAATGGAACTATTGTGTAGGTCCAACGCCCTGCTTTTTTCCTAAGGAGGGAGCAGAGAAGATGCATCTGGGTTACCTTGCTTCTCAGGCTGTTTCAGTGCCAGATGAGACTTACAGCAGGTTTCGCTACAAGTTGCTGATACGTTATGAAATAGGAATTAATTTTTAATTAAATCATTCCACCTGTGCCTGTTGGAAAGCACAAAGAAGCAGAGCTATTCCATAAAATTGGGTGTGAGGAAAATCAGGATTTGGGGGTGAAGGGGTTGTTTGTTAGGTTACAGGTTTTGCTTGGATGTTTTTTTACATCTCTGCTGTCTGTATTGAAAGTGCTTTTGTATAGTATTGAATTACTGTAAAATACTCATAGGAACAACTGTTTTGTAAAATAGAATTCTCGCATTAAATGTGAAATGTGTATTTTTTTGCTTTATGTCATTGAAATACCTACAAACCATTTTGGTGCTCTTTTTTGCCTTTTGATTAGGTGAATTCTTCTTGAAGAACTTGGTAGAAAAAAGAAAGACAAAAGTCATCTGAAAATGAGAGTGAACCTATTTAAAGCAGCTGGTTTTAAGGATCCTTTTTTCCCAGCATATAATTATACTCAGTTCCAGAAAAGCAGAAGACCAGATGGTGGATGTATGAGTAAACTTACTATCTGTCCAGAACACTTTTCTCTCACTGAAACACTTCACAGTATTTTACCTAATTCCTGCTGGCAAGGCTACAACTGCATAGTGTTCAGCAAAAAGTCAGAAGATAGAACTGATTTTGAAAGAGCGATGGAACTGAGATGGAAGAAGCGTAAGCTGGAAAGAAAATGGACAGATTTAATTAAATGGGTTTGATACTACCTTCAATATTGGTGCAGTTGGGTACTTGTGAAGATGGTAATAACTGATAATTTGAAAGGTACTGATATTTTGGTGTATCTTACCATTACTTAACACAAGTTTGCAGGGACTCTGGGAAATAGAGGAGTTCTGAAGATTGTGTACACAACGAAGGACTGTATTAGGGCTGTCTTGAACCACACCAGAGAAGGCAGCAGTAATACTCCTTCAAGAGATGGTATCTCTTAGCTGCATCTTAAGAAAATGAGCTGTACCATTCTGATAACTAATGCTTTCCAGGTGCTTGCATGTCTCAAAGTGTGAGCCTTGGTAAACACAAGGTGAAGAAAACAAGAGCCCTTTCTGGCAAGACAATTAACCTTGTGTAGATACCGTATAATTGAAACCATATGGAAAATCAGCATTGCAGCATAAGTAGAGCCACCCCTAGCTCGGGTGTGTGGCTGTAACAAGCCCCGCTGAGTTGTGCAGCTGCTGCTTTGGTGTTGGGTACGTGGAACTGCTGCTGTTCTGTCCTGTGCTACTACTCCACGGGTATCCTCTTCTCATTAAAGGAAAGTTAAATACCCAGTCTGAGGGGGTGGTGGTTGTGCTTGATTGGTCTGGTTACCTGCCCTGCTTGTTACATCTGAACACAGAGAAGCGAAGGCGTCGTGGATGAAATGTGGAATCCATTACGTATCGTACGGAGCTCAAGCAGAAATGAAAGTGTGGCTCATGGTATAGTAGCAGCTGGAAAGGCTCCTCTTTACAGTCATGATAGTTCAAAGTGCCTCTCTCCCTAATAGTCCTCAGTTGTCTGCTGTGGACATTAGATACAGGTTTTCAACTGGCTTAAGCTGTATCTTCATGGAGTTATTTGGGAAAAGTGCCGGGAATTTGTTATCTGGTCCCAACCTGTCATCATGCAGGTAATCCTGTGGCCAGCTGTAGTACTTGTCTAAATTACTGCAGTCTATATGAAGAAGAGAGGACCCTCAGCCCACCCCATACTCAGCAAGATGTTAGAAGTAAGGCAGCTAATTAGCAAGTTAATATATAGAAGAAACCTGGTATTGTTGTGAACAACAAAAAATCAGATTATACCACTGAGACCAGTGACTCAAATTGACACTTCACAAAATGAAACATAGCAGTAGGCTGATGTAGCTAAGGCTATACAGAGAAAAATAGCCTTAAACTAGAAGGAATGTGCTAATTAAACAGTATAATGGAAGCGTAAATTAGGGGAAGAGAAACCTGAGACACGAAGGAACAGAGCAACAGCAATCTTAATAGCTGTACTTTGTAAAGGCAGAGAGAAAGGCAAGGCTTCTTTTTTTTTAATTAAAAAAAAAATTTCAAATAATAATAAATTTTAAAATTTTAATTAAAAAAAGTCTGACCACTACTCTTGGAAAGAGTAGCCATACTTTGAGCCTAAACCACCCTGCCTCAGCTGCAGTACACTGAATACCAGAGCAGCAGAAGTAAGGAAATGCAATGCTCCCCCCCAGCAGCAGGCAAGGCAGGGAGGGGAGGGCGCAACCTTAACTCCAGGTTGCCCACACATTTAACAGCTGCCAGCCTTTATTAGAGGTTGCTGCTATAAATAATGGCTCTGACTTGCCCACAGAGCAGATTTAACAGAATATTACTGTAGCTTTTGCCAAGTTAACTGCTCTTTCAGCGTATCGTGACCAGAAATGGGGAAAAGTGAATTCTGAGTCATACAATTATTATCAAACTCTGACAAGAGGACATTGCACAGTAATTATCCGTGACTTCTTTACAGAGAGAGAAATAATGCTTCTGGAAACACAGTCCAATGTTATTTAATGTTAAAATTATTTTATGAATTGCTGCTGGGGGATGGTTTGGGAGATGATCTCACTTTTACACAACTGTCTGCCAGCTGGTACCAAGTTTCAGAGCTACGTAAGCTATTTTGTAAGGGCATGTTTTGCTGTGGTTTCTGAGAAAAGCAGTCACATTTTGATTTCATAGATGACTTCTTGTTTGTTTGTTTTTAAGAGTTTTTGAGGACCTCTCACAATTTATATGTAAAAATGACAAGTTTTAAAGTGTTTTTTTTAAGTTAAGAAGTCCTGCTTTTGCAGCCATCTTCCTTCCCTATTGCCCATTCAGCTTTTCCATAACTGTTTGCGAAAGCACCAAACTCTCACAGAACTCCTGGTTATAAAATCAGCACAGGTTTCGTAATTAGCTCAGTTTTGATTCTGATGAAGTTTTACATTTAGTGACATTTTCTTTATGTATGTCAAACACTTCATTCCGTCAGTTTGTTTCACAAAGCAGCCATAAAATATTTTAAGAACCATTAATCTTCCTTGCAGTCAGGAAAACATCAAACTGAGTTTTGGGAATATGATTTCACGTTGACACAAACACTTTAGAAGAATGAATAGTCTTTTTCAGCATCATTACATCTACCTACTACACTGGTGTGAAGTATAATTAAATGTTATGCAGCTGATTAGAGAGCACCTTCCAGTGACTTCAAGGCTTTAGGGTAAATCAGCAAAGCCAGAGTGTTCATTTAAGAATAATTTAAATTTTTTTCCTACTTGATCAATAATTAATATTGGTGTCCACATAAAAAGATGATGTCAAATATTTATGGTTCTTTACTACCACGTGGCAACTTATTGCAGATGTTTACCTTACAGTAGAAATTTTCAGCTCTTGGCTTGGAACAGAAAAAGCCAAGTAATGAAAACTGGCTCCGGTATTCTTAGAGCAATCATAGATAACCCATTATGCTTTCCTGCATTGTTTTAAAATTCATTTCCAACTCTAGCTGCTGAGCAAGATTAAGCCAGATCAACAGAAGAACCTCACATAAGAGAGCAAAGTGTAAATTTGTTGGCCAAAGTCTCACCCCTAACTGCTCCTATAGTAACTAGGCTCAGTCAAAAATGGGTTTGGTCCATTCACGTGCAATGTTCTTGCCTGGAAGCAGGCTAGTTTGAGCTGCACAAAGGGTTGAACACATACACAAAAGGAAGACAGTACATCTGGCCTGGCTTTTACATTCTATCTATGCACATCTTAATTTATGCCATCTATATCATACTATTCATAGGCTTGTACTAAAGATGGATTTGCCTCAGCTCTTGTATTCATACTGTTGCAGTGAAAAGAGTCTTATGGTGGGATTACATTTTATTAAGAACCCCATAAAAAAAGAACATCAGAGCACGGGAGTCCATTACTCACTTTACACAATTCTCATCAAGAATTATATGCTGTAAGATCCCATAGACAGACTCAATAGCATTAAACCCCATCCCTTACATGCACTACTCAAGCCTTCAAAGCAGCAATGCAAGTCATCTCCAATTCTTATTTCCCTGGCAACTGTGCGCTGAAGATTATGGCTTATGATTCACAGTGCTGTGAAAGCTTCTAAAGCTCATTCCTGTGCCCGTGGTAAGGTTCTCTGGCATATATGTAAGGTAGGTATTGCACTATCCTGAAGGCACCATCCACCAGCAGCTCTCCATCATGGATGTGATTCATCCCACAATCCGTGTCTCGCCAAAAGATTGCGGCCACCAAGAAAATAAGCTTAACTCTCCAAGACAGGAAGGGAAATGCCAGTACCAGTTTTACCCCTTCTTGCTCTTCAGAAAGCAGCCATCCCACTATGATGAAATTTCCCATTCTTTACCATCTTTATGATTAAGCCACAAGTCACTACCCAGGCTTTGACTAACTTGGCAGGAGAAACAGGGTAGGATTAGGGGTGTAGCACCAACTTCCTCAATCTCCTTAGAGAAGTATGTGAAAAGCCACTGGAATCCACTGTGCCACTGACCAGCCTTACAGCTCTTGCACATTCCTCACAGAAGCAACGCTTCACACAAGAGTTTAAGGGTTCAAACTGGTGAGGACAGGTCCCACACAGAGACACTGCTATTACAGCTGCGTGCAAGTTTCTGAATAGCATCCTGATTTTCCCTGCTCACCCTTCCTGTTAAGCTGAGCCCTGAAGCAGTGCTGTGCTGCCCCAAACATAGTTCAGGGCAAGAGATCCTTCAAGCACAACTTGTCTGTACCCTCTTCATCCCCAAGAGGTAACCAGCTTGCCCTCTCAGGTGCTCTGGGGGCAGAGGTAGTCAAGAAGATGCCTACCCTGCAGAGACAGGGTGATCTACCAGTCAGATTACAGTGCTTACCGACACCACAACTGGTGTCACAGGGTTGTCCCTGCTCTGTGGGTGTTGTGTGAAAGCAGCACTAGTGAATCGGGAAGAGAAGATGGCATAATGAAAGATGACAGTTTGATTTTAAGCCTCCATAATTCCCACTCACTTCGAGTGGCTTCTGTTGTACTTCCCACAGAAGAATCTTGTGATGAGGCAAAAAGCCCAAGGCGTATTTGCCCAAAGTGCTGAGTGATTGCTGAATAAGTCCCTGTTGTGGAAGCCATTAACTGTGGAATCTGAAGGCATCTGGTTCAAGGATCCAGCTGTTTCAGTCAGATAACGCTGTCTAACAGTTTGGGTAGACAATACAAGACAAGTTCCTTAAAACTTCAAGTATCTGTCCTAAAGCTTAAATTGTATCTACATTTCTGTGGGTAAATAGTTATGCTAATAGCACTCATTACCAAGACAACACTGATTTTACATTCTGCTTAACTATTAATATAGCGTACTCAAAGGGACACCTGTTGAGTACGTTCAGAAGGTATGGTGTGACTAGTTACAGGGTAATTCTCTAACATCTCAACACTACCATTATTCAACTAAGACATTCTTTGTAGTCTGAAACCCACTCATGGTCATCCTTCTCTATCCTCCCCTCCATTTCACAGCCCAACGCAACAAGCCAAACGCAAACTGTATCATCTCAAGGATTTTAATAGCACTGGCCCATTGAGAATAATAAAAACAAGTAGAAATTAAGTAATAGTAAAGGCAAAAAATATCAAAATAACATAGGAAATATTCATTCATGCTAATTAAATGAGGTAGCAAGCTGACTAACTTATGGGGCTGAATTTGTATTTTTAATGATTTCTTAACAGCAGAGAATAATTTCTGCAGATTCATTAAGAAAGCTGCTTTCAGATGAAGTACGTAAGCAGAAAGGAAGGAAAAAGATAACCATCAGGTAGCTTTGTAGCTAATATTTGCTTTCTACTTGGACTGACACCAAATTAGGTTAATTCTGCTTAAATTCAATTTTCAAACAAGCCGAACGCTCCTCTGCTGAAGACGGGTGGTATTGCTGTAACTTAGGGAAAAAAAAACTTGCCCCAGGAATCTGATTAGTTCAATAATTTATGTGGCTGCACATGGAATGTAGGCAAGACAACCAAAGAGTCAAAAGTAATGATCTGCCAGTGGATCAGTTCATAGGTGCTGGTCCACTGTTGCTGATTACATGATCGACACCTGCAGAATCATCTGGCCTCCCAACAGATGCAGCTGAGACCACGCCAGTGCCCACTGATCCCAGCCAGGGTCAGGGAACTGGTGTTGCAGTCACCTCTGTTTTCCAGCTCAACCCAAATCCTACCAAATTCACTTAGAACTTCTCTTTTGACTTCAGTGCCAGTTAGAGTGAGCATTTAACTGGGCAAAGAATTACCCAAGGAGAAAATTAAGAATCAGCGAGATCAAAATTCCTGATCACTGCCCATAACTGAACTCAAAGAGATGTTTCTATTTCTTTTGCTTTCATATCACTTGAAACATTTAAAGTGCAGTTTAGGAACATTTCTGGAAGCAGAAGTCTGCAGTTTGAAGGTAACTTTTCCACTTGAAAGATGATTCATTATTAAAAACAGGTCTGTACCATTTTCAGTAACCAAAAAATTGCTATAAAAATAGAGATTTGAAAATAGACTGAATTCACATGTACCAGGTACCATTTCTAGTGTAAAACTGGTTTTTAGTTTATGAAAAATATCTTTCCTTAAAAAAAGCGTAGGCTTACAGTTATTATCACTAAGAAGGTCAACAGAATTCCTTCGGTACCTATTAAACATTATACTCTAGGCTTCTTGACAGGTGGGTCCTGCAGGCTGAACTTGGGAATTTCACATGAAGAAGCAAAAGGAATTCTTTTGGCTGATACCTTCTTCCCAATTGTTTCAATCTGAAAGAGAAAGCACATTCAGGAAGTGAGTGTGGCAAACTATCAGAGTCCTGGCAGCCTGTAAGACATCTACAAACTAAGTCCAGGACCTTGACTACATTCCATGAACACTAGAATAACACAAGGCACAAAGCACAGCTCCCCCAGGGACAGTTTCTGGGATTAGAACTGCAAAGTGTTTTTTAAAAACATGTTTGCACAGGTGCCTGCTTTGCATATTTTAAGCTGCATCTTACTAATTTGGTCATTCATGTGCCTCAGCTTCCATAGGACCAGCAGAACAAATACCATAAAATGTTTCTGGGTATTCAGAAAGTGTGGGTTTGGCCTCCTTTGTCTAAAGATTTATATCCAGTAAATTAGGACAGAAGCAGCTGGGATGTTTTTGAAACAGATTCTGAAAGGCTAAAGGCAGCAAACTCCATATAAAAGAATGTATGTAACAAAGCTGACACACATTTAAGTGTGTACTGCAAAATTCAAACAGTAAGACAGATTCCCCCAGTTTTTAGGTCAGACTACTGTAAATCCCTTGCCACTCAGTCATTGAAGAGCAAAAGCAAGAGGGATCAGAGAGCAGAAGGAAAGGAACATAAGAAGCAACATCACCCAGCTGATTACCTGGAAGCCAATCACTTGTAGCTCATTGTGAAGATCATCTAGAACTCTCCTGCCATCAAAGATAAATGCAGGCTTCAGCATCTTCTTATGAATACGTTCATAATCCAACTCCTGTAAAGGGAAATTATAGTAGACAGAATAGGTAAATAGCATAACACTCCCTCTTTTTATTTCAGTTTAATTTTAAAATAGCATTTTTACCTTAAACATGTCCCATTCAGTGCAAATTACAAGGGCATGAGCTCCATCACAGGCTTCATAGGGATCTTTACTTATAGTGACCAACCGAGACACTGTAATAGAAAGAAAAAGTTTTTTGCTGCACACATCTTTAGCATCAGCCTAGTGCACTCCTGCCAAACTTGTCTCCTTCCTTGCCCTACTCAAACAAGGAGAGTTTCAGGTCACTCATCTAGAGATGCCTTCTGTCGAGACATTTGTCACTTTAATCTCACTTATTTAAAGAAAAGCAGTTTGTACCTGGCATCTGAAGGGAGTCAGGGCACTAAAAAGTTTGAAGTCAGGCATTCCAGTTTGATTTAAACAGTCAAGAGCATCTCTAGAATTCAAAGTTGCTGTGGAGTGCTCAAATGTCAGCTCTCACAAAGGTCACTGCCAGCACAACAGCAGCACATCACTGTTCCTGTTTAACACTCAGTTCACACTAGAGAAGATACGTGTCTCACTAGGGGCTGCCTTCATCCCTTGGCTGCCTCAGCAGCTGCCTAGAGGCAGCCCTCCCATTCCTCTCCCATTCAAGGAGATGTCAAATAGGGCACACCCTTCACTCTTCTTTGTCACAGCTCATTCCTCCATCATCTTCACCTCTAGAAGTCTGATTTACCATCTCCAGTCTTCTCCTCCCCACTAAGGAAAGGAAACAGAGATCCCCAATATCCCCTGCTTCTTCCCAATAAATTTCTAGTCATTGATGATTACTTCAAAGTCTTCCTGAATTTAAGAGAACAGATGAATTTATGAATTTGGAAGTGCTATGGGGGAGAAGAGAATACTCTACAGTGAATTCCAGACTTAGTTTCTTTATTTCTACTTCACATACACAAGCAAGAAGTAAGGCAAGAGGACTCAGGACACGGAGGAGCTGACAGAGCAACACTAGTTTTTCCAATTTGTAGATATTTTTCTCTCTTCCTTTTAATTAGCCAGAGAGAAAATCCTTCGCATGTATTCAAATGAATATTTATCAAAAGAAAGATACAATAGTACAGAATTAGCATTTATCTATAAAAGCTATGGGGAAAAGGGGAAGAGTTACAGTAATCCTCTGAGCCACAACAATCCTCTAGTAAGTGTAGCCAGCAGCACATCATTGCCATGGTGAAAACGAGAAAATGAATTTATAGTATTTAAGAGCCTGTGTATTTTGAAAATAGGGTGGGTTTTTCTTCTTGGGGGGAGTATGGGAAATAGGCTTTACATGAGCATTCTTACCTTGGTTATCTTCTGAAACACCTGGATGCGAGAGATCCAAGATGATTTGTTCCTTAGGTACTTTAGGATCGTAGATATGGAGCTTTGCTCCTTCATCCATTAAATACTTGCTAATGTAGATACTGGATGACTCTCTAGGGATGAGAATCAATCAGTTAGAGAACCAGATGGTGTGTTCTAAGTAACAAAAGTCTCCAAGTGTCATGATATGCCATGCCAGAACCTTTATACCAGCTTTATGTTAAACATCTCAGTGGTAATCCATGCCAGCAGCACACTTGAAGTCTTGAGGGAGGCCAAGGAAAGTAATATGAAAAACAAGTTTACACCTCACTTGCTGAATCATGCAAGAGAGATACCAAGCCCCAGGACTCCTATAAACCATAATTAGCAAGGCATCAATCTTATAAGCATTCCCCATGAACTGCAGTTGGAGAGAGTGGTATAAAGTTTGAGCTTCACAGGAAAACAGAATTAATCACCTTTGGGAAATAAAGCTGAAACCTTGGCTTCACATAGCCATTTAGAGTCAGTTGCAAAAATGTTTGTTTTCTTCTCTTGTGGAAAATGGAAGGACCCTGTCAAAATCTATCTTTGCTTACACAACGTAATAAGGACTTAATTGGTGCCCCAAGCCTGCCAGCATTTAAGACAAATTTAGACAATGCCCCGAGGAACACGTTTTAACTTTTGGTCAGCCCTGAAGCGGCCAGGCACTTCCAACTGAAAATATTCTATTCTTCTAGTTACCTGCTCTAGCTTCTGAATGATTCAGGTATGTTGTAGAGGTCAAGATCAATAGTCTCATCCATTTAAGAAAGACTAATCCTTGTTACAAATCAATTCAGTCACAGGAGATTAAGGGTTCTGTATCTGATCTGTTTTTATTAACACAATTAAATTGGGAGGTTTAGCTGCGTAGCTGATTAAGAGTACAGTGAATCCACATTAATGAACTGAATTTGCTTTCTTACCTTGTGTCCCCAGTGTCCTTTTTAAAGGCAAACCCTAAAATAGCGATCTTCTTATCAGTGACTGTATTGAACAAGCTGTCAATAATGCGGGAAGCAAATCTTCTTCTCTGATAATCATTCATGTCTATTACCTGAAGTTACATAAAATGTGATGGTACAGAAGGGAACCATTTTAAACTATAAACAGATTCTATTAACAATCAAGCCAAGCTACCCACACAAAAGTTTCACAGAGGCCTAAAAAATAAAGCTAAGTATTTTTACTCAGTATCAAAAGTAATTCAAAGAAAATCAGTTAATTTATCAAGTTTTGAGACAATTCCTATTTTAACTAGTGACTGTAAATGAATATGCACACATACTACCTTGCATTACCTAGTTCAAAGGCTAGGACTTTTTCCGATTGCCTTTTTTTTAAAAAAAAAAAAAAACAAACCCAAAACAAAACATAAAAACCCCAAACCAGCTTATAGTAGTCTAGGCAGAAACTTGGAAAGCAGCCCCATTGCCAGACCTACACTTCCTTACATGCCATGTGGAACAACTGTGAAAACATTTTTGTCCTTTCTAATCTGAACTAACAGATTTCAGTGCACAAATCTAGTGTGATCGAACCGGATGTTTAAGTGCTCCACTTCTGTTATTACATGAAAGTGGGTTCACTCAGTCTGATTGCTCCTGTACTTTCCTCTCAGCCTGCTTCATACTTTGATCTCTCAGTCCTTCACACACACAGGGCACTGGATCACTAGAAGAACAGGAAAGGTAGGTTCCCCCACCCCACTGTGGACTAGAAAAGTGTGGACTGCAAAAGAACTATACTTCCCTCTGTTTTGAGGCTTTCAACCCAAATCGAGAATTAACACAAGCAGCCTATGAAATGTAAGGTATAAACTACACAGTAGAAGGATACTGGTGAACAAAGTTTGAGGAAAAGAAATAAAAGTAATGAGATTTATGCAATTCAACAGGGTGGTGATGGGGAACATGGGTAACAGTTGACCAGGTAAGAGGGATGCATTTCTTCCTGTAGGTATATTTTCAAGTAATGAAGATTTCAGAATTAGAGACCCCTGTCCTATCGAAATGCCAGAGCAAATAATAGTTAGGATTCTGGGGCTGCTCTGATCAGCCTATCCTCCAGGATTTGCAGCCTGTCCTCAGACTGGTCTGAGGTCTCCCATGTGCGTGTGCTGGGATGAGCTGCTGACAGTGCAGGGCTCAGGCCACAAAGAAGGGGTTCACATGGTTGCTTATACAGGTGCACATGTATGTGCCTTATGTGACCTGAGCAGTGTGGGCTGGGGCAGACAGACCCCTGCAAGACGACAGCGAGGAAGCAGGAGGGGCAGGTAAGGGGTTGCGCCACATGAACACAGCGCCCTTTACCTTATGCTAACTTTGCAGCACCTGTTATATCTGATTTGTCCACAGCTTAATGAGCCACACAGAAACACTCTAAAGAGTTGCTCTTAAAAAAAAATAAGAGCATCAAAGCACTTAAAGCTACCTTGTTTACATGAACAATGCAACCTTTTAGGCTTTTGTTAAATAAAAACAACACATCCTCACAGGAAAGCTTAGATTTTCCTATGCCTTTGGGTTGCCAAGATACCAGATAGGTTGCAATTGGAGAAGGACCTTTGTGATCTCAAAGGATAAAGCCAAACCAATTTGTCTCTTTCAAGACAGTAACAATTTTTCCTTATTTGTCAAATTATCATTGAGGGAACATGGTTAGTTCCTACAGCTCCAGGGATTTCCTGTTGTCTGCTTACATCTTACATTGAGTAAAAGCAGTATTTCCTGAAGCAAATATCAGAACGTGGGGCTCCTCCTCCTTCCTACTGTGCCAACGCAGCCCAGCCCTGCACTGAACCCATCCTCTCCTGGATGCTTGCAGAAGGTTCAGGCAGTAGTTTGTCTCAGCTTCACTGATGTGATTGCAAGCCTCTCCACCATGGACTAGACTGTCCTAGCAAAGTACACTTTTTAAGGAAGATGTCAAACCAAATCCTCTTCAGAGCCAGGCAGCATAAACCCTATATTTTCCTTGTCTCAAGCAACTGATGTAAGAGTTACAGTTGCAAATAAGTAACTAGGCTGCTGCCTAGCCCCCCCTGGCTGAACAGGATGTAGAAAGCCACTGGACACCACCAGAGAATGTAAGAAGCTGACTAAAGTCACAGATATCACTGTGAAGCATGTCTGAGTTTTAGAAGCTGTTATGGAGGAGCTGTTAGTGAGATCCTCCAGCTTCAGGTAATTGGAAGGGAGTAACAGGGACCTTTTGGGGAATAGACCTTGCAAAGCGAATAGAGCCTAGATAACCACATCAACATGTACCACATGGCCACAACCATATAAACTACAGTAGAGGAAATACTGAACTTCAGCATGGATGTGGCACAACTGACCAATGATGAAAAAGTAATTATGAGTAGGCTGTTTATTTGGCAGCAGACTAGGATGAGGAAAAGTGGTGGGGGAAAAAAAAACATCCAAAAGGATGGCTGGAAAAAGGGAAAGCTGCTAACAAGGTGGGCAAATCAAGCACTTGGTATTCTGGGGGAATCTGCTAGACAGCCTTGTACTTGATCACCACAGCCTAAATCAGGACAATAAAGCTGTTCTTTTGATCATACCACATGTCAAAGCTGCTTCCCCAGTCAGGCCTGGGAAGAGGGGTGAGGTGCTTTCACTGGTTAGTAGGGAAACATTTGTTAGTACAGACTGAGCATCCTGGTACTGCTGTGTTGGTGCTAGGCCTAAGAACATCCACACCTTCCCAACCATTCCTAACATTAACCAGGGAACAGCAGCAGCAACCATGTTTATTTAAAAGAATGGCAAGTTCTGCTGAGTTCTTTCAGAAAAGGAACTCCCTGAGGAAGAGATCGTAAGCTCTGAATTCAAAGTGGACAGAGATAACCAAGTGCAAGAGGAAGACAGGACTCTGGACTTGCTTGTACTTCACATTTTCTACTGCTACTTCTAGACGACCTCCTAGCCCATTTGATCCAGACAACTTAATTCACCCCAAAAGAAGCCTAAGCACCCACAAGTATCAAATGCCAGTGTTAGGCTGAGGGACAAAGCTCAAAAGCTCAATGCTGAAGAAACAGGATCCTCTCAAAATAATCAGTGAAGAACAACTTGTACCTGTTGCCAGTAGCGGGCTACTTCAGGTAAGTTCAGCGCCTCACAGAGGTACACTAAATTCAAGACATCCTTCTGAAAACAGCTACCTCCAAACCCTGAAAGAGAAAATGGTTATTTTACAGGTGACTAAGGTACTATTCTAACCCAATCTTTGGAATAGAGTAGTTTTTGGCAATCATGGATATTATAATTATCATTGAGATGATTTTTCCCCGTATTTCATTGCTAGCAAATGAAAACCTTATGAATCTCTCAAAATCCAACTCCTGGACCTACCTACTTTGTCAGTTACAGAAGCCCTACAATCTACTTCAGGTCTCACTGAAGTCAATGGAAGTTTGAACCCAGTCTCAGGGTTAATAATAATAGAGCCCCTAGGTTTTGGGGTTTTTTTTATTACTACAAGCGAGTGGACAAGTTCCAGGGCTTGCTCTCTCCACACCTAGAGGTTTAGATTAATACTTCTCAGAACAAGTATGTTAAAATTAGGCTCTCTCCTCCTCCACCTCCAAATAGATGATTTAATTGCCAAGAATCAAAGACCACCACAGCTGACTAAGGGAAAACTGAGACAATTAGTAGAGGGATCCTTGACCCCTAGAACTTTGCTCGGGATCCCAGAAGCACCACACTGCAGAAGGAACTATAGTAACCCAATAGGAATTTTGGTCATGTATTTGCTACCTGCTTTTCACTCTTGCATAGACTCTAGGAGAGCTTGTATTTAAAGTCACACTTTCTATTTCTAGCATGAAGACTGTAGACATATAGATAAGCTTTAGTCTTGTTCCATAAGTTTGAAAGTTTGTTGTACTGATCACCACTTTATCAAATCTTACTCTAGTAAATCTTAGCAACTGAATTAATCCTACAAATTAGAAGTTGCCGGTCTCACACATTCTGACCTGGAGGCATCCCCTTCCTCAGGTGGCAGCAACACCAACAAAATTGCAGCAGTTACAGCTGGGAAGACATCTTACGGAGCACAATCACCAGGCATGTTTCAGAAAATTAAAGTTGCAACTTTTCAGAGTGCATGGTTTATCCTGTCTGGGACACTCGAAAGAACTCTCAGGTTTCAGATTGCCAGGGTCTAGAGCAACCTAAGTCCATGAGATTTTACCAGAAAAACCTGGTTTACACTAGTACTCTACAGTAATTTTTTTTTTGTTTGTTACACACACTCATGCTGTAGAAGATTTTAGACTGTCAGATCTATTCAAAACACTACTAGAAGACCCATTGCAGTATTAAACAGAAGCACAGAATAAAAAAAGAAAAGGATTTTTTATTTACCAACACTGGCTTTGAGAAACTTATTTCCAATTCTTTGGTCTGTTCCAATAGCTCTTGCTACTTCTTCAACATCTGCTCCTGTAGCTTCACACAGAGCACTGATTGAGTTAATGCTGCTGATTCTTTGGGCAAGGAAAGCATTAGCTGCCTGTAAATAATAATAATAATAAAAACCATAGTAAAGAGAGCTTGATTCTTTCAGAAAATAAGATGCCCACAGATCAAAGGGAGTTACTACTGGAAGGATTACTTTAGTATCCATGTAACTAACTCTGTTGAGATACAAAATGGTAACATAATTAGTTTAATACATAAATGCCAGCTATTGGAACCTAAGCAAAATAATGTAATGTTTAACTTGCAGAGTTTGAAATGCTGGAAATGCATCATAAAGATGGTAACCAGCTCCTTCAGCACTAGAAGTGTACTCTATTATAAATAACACAGCAATAAAAGCGAGAAAGTGATTTCATGGAAAGCTGATAACATCTATTAGCCCAACTGAGATAATAAGATTAATATCCTTTGACATATACACTGGGTCCTCCCAGCCTCATCTGGCTTTCCTTGCTGCATCACTCCCTGTCAGTGAACTTATGCTTCTGAGCTCTGTCTTGCTTGCACCTCATTGCAAACAACAGCAGTGAGTGACACTGACCAGTTTAGAAAGTTCTGATGACCAGGTATTGGTTGTGAGGATTTTTTCTTTGGGCACCCAGTGCTCATAAACAGCACAAAGAGCACGGACAGCTTTCTGTCCCTCTGGAGAATCATCTCCACCGATGAGCACTCTGTCTGGGTTCTTCAGGTCCTTGATGGCTGTTCCTTCTGCGAGGAACTCCGGGTTAGACAGCACCTACAGGCACAGAAATAAAGAACAACAGATAGAAGCCAAAAGCAACAACCAGCCTTTAAATACACAACTCAAAGCTTCTGCTTACCTGCAAATCCAAGTTAGGCTTAGTATTAGCATCAAATATTCGGCGAATGCTCTCCGCAGCACGTACTGGAACTGTGCTTTTCTCAGTGACAATTTTATAGCCATTGGAGTTTTGTACAATTCGCCTAGCACAAGCTTCAATGTATTTCAGATCAGCTGCTCGGCCTTTTCCCATGCCATAGGTCTTTGTAGGAGTGTTAACCTAGTTACAAATAACAGAGGTGGAAGAAATGTTGCAAGTATTAACACAAGAGCTGTTTGACAAGGTGAAATTGTTAAGAATGACACATATTTTCTCTCCCAGAGTCCAGCTTCCTCCTAGCCCAGAATTATTCTAGTTAACATATCAGATGAACAGCTATTAGCTTTCTCAATTACCCATTTTGTCTTCTAAAGAAAGCTTATTGGCCCTATTCAAATAGAATTTAAAACAAGAGAAATTCATAACAGGTCTCCATACTTCGATGAAACAGAGTCCATGTTCTGGAAACACCAGTAATTTCTTCATGATTAGAGCCAGCCACCTTCCCCGCCCTCCCCTCCCCCATCAGGAGTGCAAAAATTCACATTATAAGAATCTTGCAACTAGTAATGTAGTTACTGTTTGAACCCACTTTGCAGTGAAACCAAAGCGCAGAGCTGCTGAAAATTGCTATACTGAAGCCCACAGAAAAGGCAACATGAGGGAAAACACGTCATTTAGATTAAGACAGAGGGTCCTTTTCATTACAAACTGAAAGAAGAAACGGCAACAACATGTAAAACACAACAGCATTTTTTAAGCCAAGGACAGGTGGCAATATATGGCCTGCATTAGTGGCAGTCATCCAGGCAAGTAGCATTCATTTTAGACCTAATGAATGGAGAAAAATACTATCAGAAAGAGAGCTCTGTACTGAGGTGCCCTAACAAAGAGGAGCTCTCAGGAAAAGAGGACATAAGTAACAAAAATAACCCAACTGGGGCCTACCAAGATGAATTGCAATCAATTATTTTGGATTCTGCATTAGGAGCAACCTTCTAGATTATAAGAAGTCACACTGTTTATGTTTGACTGGATCCTCTTCTTAGTGGTACCAACAGCTTAGAAATATTAAAGATAAAAAAATATTAAAACTAGCTCCTCTTCTATTAATACACTTTTTAAAATAAAGCTTCTAAAGATAAGTCATCTTTGTAACCTAATAATGGGTAGATGATTTTGCTTCCTTATCTAGGAACTGTATTATTATTATTATTAAATGGATTTCAGTAGTACACTGCAATGAAAGATCTGCACTATATTCTGCTTTAAGACATAACACATCTAACCATGCTAAACATAAACATTTTAACTTTGATTTAGAGCCCATTCATTTGTCAAACATTCTGTTGGCTATAAAAAAAAATTAAAATAAAACACTTAGCATTTTTCCCCACAGGACACAGAAAGACAAGGAGAAAACTGCAACACAGTGACATGACATTGCTAACTGAATCTATATGACAAAACAAAGGCCTCTTCCTAACACAAGAGGAATACAGTAATTTGATAAGAAATAAAAATATAAAATATAAACACACACAACTACCTTCTCCCCATAAACTTACAGAAATAAATACAAGATCAGCTTCTCTAATGGCATCATCAATACTGGTAGAAAAGAAAAGGTTTCTTCCTCGACAGGACTCTACCACTTCTTTTAACCCTGGCTGGAAAAAAAAAGCAGAAAAAAAGCAGTTAAGGTTAATGCAGTTATAAGAACAGTAAACTGCATGCCCAAACAGCATATCATTTCAGATACAGAAAGCTTTCTTTCTCCTCAGTGTGGTATGTTTTCAGTCTGCCAGACACAAAGTAAGGTTTCTGTAGACTTACAAATACAAAAAAATCAAAACCCATTCTTTAATCAAAACACTCAAAATGCCGTCTGGAAGTTTTCAGCCATACTTGCACAATAACAAGACCACTCCTTTTGACAAGGACTCATGTTTGGATCAGATTAAACTTGTCATGGAACCACATCCGCAGCGTGGAAGAATCAGAGGCACAACTTGGTGAGATTTTTTTTCCAGAGACACATACTATGCCAGAATGCCTTCCCTTCTTTTAACACCTCCACTCAGACAAGAGGAGCAGGAGGCCATGTGTACACGAGCAATCCTCTGTATTAGAATGGTCTACAAAATTACTTAACTAACATATAGTTGTCATAGACAAAAGAAGCCTTTACTTTTTGTTTGAAAAATAAAGTAATACACTGTAACATATCTCCAACCTGAGAGACGCCTATCATGACATGAAATATCTGATTAAGTGCCAGAAAGGTAAAGGTTCACTAAAGGGAGAAAGAAAACAAAGCAGAACCTCTCTTATGCAAGACATTTTTTGCTGTCTCACTCTACACCAAATACCTACTTAAAAGGAAAACAAAGGTCAGAGCAGGCACAATAACACATGCTATAACCCATAAAGTGCTCCAGCTAAGGCCTTACTGGGATGCAAACAGAAAGGCAGCCTGCTAGACAATTGCTGACACTGGGAAGAAAAAACCCAAACCAAAAAATACAAAAAAGCCTCACTGCGCAACAGCTCAATTTTACAACTGTCTGAACTAATGCTTGGCAGTTTTTGTACATTCTTTGTAACTAAATGACATGATTCCAGGAAACAGATGTTGCGAGTTTGGGGTGTTTTTTTTAAAAAAAAAAAAACATGCCAAGACTAACTCTACTTTAACTCATTCAGTCTAAGTGTTTAGAGAAAACAAAGTACTTGCTTTCATGATCTTCTCACTGGATTCAGAAGACTTCTTAAAGCAAAAGAGTAACGGTTAGTACTAGGCAACATGCCTTGTCTTTGGAAACTGAGTAAAGATAAATTTTCACTTCCATTAAAGAAAAGAACTCTAACCTATAAAAACCTGTATGCACAAAAGAATGAAGGAAAAAAAAAGAGACCTGTTCTTTGAGGGTGAAAAAGAGTGAAAAGTAACAAGTGCCAAGAGAAGCAAAATAGAAACATGCTTTATATATCTTCAAATTAAAATCATTTTGTAATGAAGGAGTGACAGTGTCATACATTTAAAAATAAATTTTATGCAGCCTAGTCTTCCCAGGCCAGACTGAAGCTTTATTGTACAAGTGAATCAGGAACATGACTGTCCACATCTTACAACATGGTTAAAATGGGCAGCACAGATCAGATTTTGGCCGTATTCAGAATGGAAATAAAGCTTACCACTGAGTATTGCACATGTATATTATCCTACAACACAGCAGATAGTATCTATCATTATGATAGTATCTACATTATGATTAAAATGGGTCCCAAAAGAAAGCATGATTTAGCACAATTCGCTATATATATAGTTACATTTTTCCTTATTAGGCTCTTCATATATATAATCCCTAAAAATTTAGTAAGTCTGGTACAGGCAGGTAATTGAAAAAAATCTGGTTTAATGAGCAGTAGTGACAAGCAGCTGTCCCAGAATACTCTTTCTGAAGGACATCACTGTGTTACACTTACTAAGCTTCAGAAGTGGGCCATGTGGAAATGCCATGTGGTGGGAGGGAAGCAAATGCAACACTGGCTGGAAGACGAGACAAGGGAGGGACACATTTACCTCATAGATCGGGAGTGTATCTGAATTCCAGGCGTTGATCCTGGCCTCATTGACATCCACAACGGTCACTTTGATGTTGGGACACATCTGTGCAATAACGCTACAGGTTGGCCCACCAACATAACCAGCACCGATGCAGCAGATCTTCTTAATTTCAAACATGGTTGCTCTAGTAAGAGGAGGAGGAGGAGAATCAGGAGTTATAAATGAAAATACTTGCCAACAATTTAAGGAAATTGATGGGAATTTTTATTATGCTGCCACAGAGAGAAACATTTCATTTATTTATTTTTCACAGCTGATCTCTTGAAATGAACTGTAACTGCTCTCTCCTGCCCGGGAAGGTTTTAGAGCCCTGGAGCGCCAGCACACACAGACCACAGAGGAAGCCTTTTCTGTGGTGGCTTTGAAGGCTGCCAGCGTAAATACCACCCCCTCCGCCCGAGGAACTGCCGATGCCACGGCAGCCCCCGGCAGGAGCGGAGCCCTCTGCCACAGGCGCCGCACACCCCGGGGGAGGGAGGGCCGCAGCCCCCGCCGCCGGCAGAGCCCCGCCAGGCCGCGACCCCCGGGCCCGGCCCAGCTCCCGCCATCTCTCCAGAGCCCCTCGGCCGAGAAGGCGCGGAGGCCGCGACCCCCACTGCCGCCTCCTCCTCCCCGGTAGAGGGAGCGGGCCGGCAGCCCACCCCGCTCCTCGCCTCCCCGAGACCGACCCCCGCGGGCTCCATCCCCGGGAGCGGCGGAGAGCGGCTCCCGGGCCGCAACCCGGCCCCGCGCTCTGAGGGGAGGCGGGAAAGGCCGCCACCATCCCGGGGAGCCCCCAGAGAAAGCAGCGGGGGGACCCGCAGCCGGCACCGAAGCCGCAGCCCGCAGACTTACTTCCCGCCCCGCCGCAGATGGAACTGGAGGCGAGGATGCTCGGGCAGGCTCAGGGCGACGCTCCGCTACGAGCGAGGCGGCGGCGGCGGCGGCTATTTAAAGGGCCGCCGCGGGGCTGAGGCGGTTGTTTCATCCCGGGGACGCCGAGCGAGGCCGGCCCCGGCTCCTCCCTTCCCCCGGGGGGCGGAGGCGGCGCGGATCCCGCCCGCCTCACCGCCTCCCCGCCCCGCCGGCGAATG